ATAGGATAATATGTGTGCACACTGTTTCAAGATGTTAAACACTTGAGGTTCTACATAATTTTTTATGGTTTATTCTCCAGTTTTCATAGGCAATATTGTCAGTCTGGTAACGATTTTGTTACTGTCGACAGGTGTTCGTGCAGTCGCTTGAAAGAAAGCCATTGTCGAAGTCATTTCACTGATGTCGAAAAAGAATTTCCCATTTTGTTGAAATACCCGTTTTTCTATGACTTCATCGGTGGATTTCCTTCGCGATTCAATCTAGACGATTTAACAAATAACAACTATTTATTTTTTTCTCTGTAATAGAACCGAAGTACCTTAACTCCAGATGTTAATAGATTGAGTTGTAATTTTTTTTTACATAGTGTATCTATTTTTTCATTTACTTGTTGTAATTTCAGGAATAATTTTGTAATTAATGTAATTTAGTGTGTGCTTGAAGGTGTACGAGATGTGTGTTAAGATGAATTAAGTGGTTTATTTTTAACAATAAAAATAATCTCTAATGTTGAGAGAAATTGTTGGACGAAAATTTTTAACCTACCTGCATCGAGCGTTAACCAACTCTCACACGCAATTATGATATTTCTCTTGTTTTCAAAGTTTTCAAAGTCAGTCCCTAAGTCACAACGCACGTATTGCGAAAGTTACATGTTGTATTCAAACGCCCGGATACTTCCTCACTTAACTGCCAACACTCTCACCTCTCGGGTGAAAACCGTCACAGAACATCCATAAATTTTCATTTTCTATTTCGTACGCGAAATATTTAGAAAACTGTCTCATTTGGAAGCCACTATGATTTACTATTCTCAAATGAACCTCGAGCGATCACTCTCCTATAAATTTATCCACGATAGCCCAATAAATCCGCTAAAGACTCCATAAATTCTCAGCAATTAGCGACAAATTGAATATTAATTTCCCCTAGAAATCAGTAAATTTGAAATCATAAAGGCAAAATTAAAGTGGACCCTGGGGGAAAAATTCTTCAAAATCAGCGAAGCAAAACACCTCCAAGGAATTGCCAATGCAAAAATGTAAAGCAGTTACGTAAACGATTTTTTCGAGGTAATCCGCAGTGAAAACTCGCTTTTGACTATTCGGCGGGAAAAATGAAGAATGTCACATGAGCAAATTGTCCCGGTTTTACCAGTTCCAAAGAAGTTCCCTCACTCATTCATTCGCCCTCGGTATATGTTAGCCATATCTATTGCACTTATCACGTAATGATACGCAATTGTAACCAAAAAGTGGGGAAAGCGTGAATATTTTAATTTACACGCTTGAAAATGTAACATAACATGCAGCCAATACCTTCAACGTCGCGAAACAATTGGCGTTAAGTAAACAAGGAAAAGAAAGAATGAAGAAAACAATTCTTGGCCAACAATAGAATCCACACCTCAATCGTATTACATTGCCGTTTTTTTCCGCAGGTTTTTTTTTTTCCTTTTGTAATATTTTTCATTGCCCAGTGCAATCATATAAATCACCTTCCAACGATCCAACATTTTCGAGCGAATGTAAACCCTTTGCTCTTTTACGATAACACTGATAAATTGAGGGCCATTATGTGGTTTACCAAATGTTGCACAATCGAATGCGTCAGTAAAGCGTTCATCATTGTCTTGCGGCTGCTGTTCAATTCTGTTCTTGAATCAATGAATAAAAACTTGGTTTTATAATAAATCTCACTTGGAGATGGAAGAAACTGATTCAGCCTGCATTATTATCATACCTTTGAATAGAAGAATCGGTGATTCTCGGTTTCCGTTAGCTCAAGGATGATAATGAACATCTTGAGTACATCCTCGGGCTCATTATCTTTAGTGCTCCATGAATAATTCGATGTTGGTGGTGTAACGGTTGTTCTTGAATGAAGCCGACGACTCCGAGATTACTTGATGCTGCACGAATACAATTCATCGAATCATTCCCGAAATCAGGACGTAATCATTATATTTTTTATTATATTAACATGTGGCATAACCATATCGAGTCACACATGAAAATTATTTATTCGATAAACTGGAATAATATATTAATATTAATATATTAATATGTTATATTTACTGAAGCAGGCGGGAAGTTTATATAGTCTTCCATATCTCGTGATGTCATGGGAAAAATTTACTGGAAAAATGGATAGTCCATGATTATATGCGAATATATGAATATAAATGTATATTCATATTGTATATATGTATATATTATAATCATTTAATAAAATCATTTCTACTTGACACTTTACATTGAGAGAAGAAATTACTTTTGCCAAGAGCATTTTCTTCCCACCAGTAAATCTGGCGATCACTGTGTAAATACTCTCATAAGACTTACTAATGCCAAATATATTTTCTTGTGGTTATTAAATATTCTTGGCTGAAGAAAATTGTTTTCTCAGTGTACGTTGTTCCCGCATTTATTTAAAAAGAATTTTGACGGCGTCAGGTACTCATCCGGAAATTTTAAGAGAAAATTTTTATTAATCTTCGAGATTTTTTTTACTCTTTGACTATTTTTGATAAGATCATTATTGAGGGGCGTTAAGGTTCTGCCTTGGATAAATGAAATTGGCTCATTAACGCCGTCAAGGCAAGGACATCTGCTGATCGAAGTTGGCCCTCAATCGAAACCTAAATTATCCTAGAGTAGACGAGGGTCAAATTAGTCTCCGATTTTCGAAGACAAAATCTCCTCTAGCGATTATTGCAGATCGATATTTATACGAAAAAAAAGACAAATTAATGTGCACTCCGATGGAATGTGGAAAAACGAAGTTTAATTTTTTTTAATAAATACAAAGAAATGGATCATTGTAATGGAGATGGTTTAAAGGCTGAACTTTTCAGCGATCTATCCAATTAGGGAATAAAATCCGTCACATTATCTGGATATTGAAAATAATGATAATTAAAAAAATGTAAGTGTAGCATTGAAAATTCTAGAATTTGGAAGAAACGGACATGACGTATAAAAGAAAAATGATAGAATTAAAAAGAAAATCTGATAAAATTATAAAAAATCCGAATAATTGCCAGAATTTTTCTTTCTCTGTATTAAAGAAAAAGGTTCAAGAAAAAAATCAAGATAATATAATAACAAACATAACGAAGGAGATAACAAAAAATAATACATTATTATTATGTCTATGATGATGTACAATTATTTTACTGCTGATTTACCAATTATTCTTTTATATTTTCACTCTAAGCTAGGATTCTCTGATGAATACCATAAAACATTAACACAATATTCGATTGAGATTCATCGAGGTCGACGTGACTTCATGCAGCTAATGACATCCTCTCATAGAAGATAACAATATTCTCAATTGAAGAATAATTTCCTCTGTGCATTGACTCCCGGTTAACGAGTGCTCAATCAGTAGATTATGTACACAATAACTCGATAATATAATTCCATCCACAAAAGACAGACTTCAAGCCGAAGAGAAAAGTTGGCACAAAGACTAACAATGACGGAGGCCATAAAAGGATGTGTTTGAATTATGACAATTACATGAATTACAACCGTGGAGTTCAATAGTTTAGCATAACCAGCTGGTGGTTTAATGAGAAGCCAATCGCCGATAACCGTTAGGTTTTCAAGAGAATCAACTGGGATAGACGTAATGACCACGTGCCATGCAACCGGGAAATTATTGCATATGCACTAACTTTCGGAGTAAACGAGACAAAAAGGATATATGGAGGAGTTTAATCGGACAAAACAGGACGGAATAACGGATCAGGTACATGTAACTTGGTTCTACCTACATGTGAATCCATTAAATCATTGTGCATTCGATGAATATGACGAATGAACAAAAAAATTGATGTTTATTAAGGAGTTTGGAACACTCAAGGCTTTTCATTGCCTTCTGGGAGTTTATTTCCGACGAGGTAACAACTACTTGCTCCCACGTTTAATTTCGTAATGCTAATTCTACGGATTTACGCCAGCGTGGGTGTCAATTCTCATCCAAATTAAAAGGAAAAATAGAAGCACGCGAATTACTGTAGAAATTCATTGGAACACGAGGAGAAGAAGAGATCTGGTGCATTCGGTATATGTAACACCACGGGAGAAAAGACTTTTTTCATTTTTAAACCCAAAATTTCTGGATTTTTTGAAAATTTCAAAAGTTTTTATTGTACGTTAATATTGGCAATTCAATAATAATGTCTGAAAGAAATAAAAAGATTATTAAATTGGAAAGTTAATGTCAGAACATTTACAATAATGATAAAATTTAATTACTCGTTGGAAGCAAAATACATAAATGAATCAATTTACCAAATTCAGCAATTCAAAAATTCTAATATTTATTATTGTTCTTATTTTCTCGTTTGTTCTTCCATTTGAATAAAAAATTTGAAAAACCCATAAAGCGTGAATATAAATTGTAAAAAAAAAACAATTTCTAGAAGGATTGGAAAAAATGTTAAAATTCAGTTGTAGTCCATCCACACTTGCTCCATGTCTTCAATTTCCATCCGCGACGGCAACATACACGAACGCAATAACTGGACATGAGCCCATTAGATTTATATGTTTGTGTTAGGCACGTGATTATTTGATTACATAACACGATCTTAATCGCAAAAGAGGTAAAAGAGGCAGTCTCCATTTTCCAAAGGGGGACCCACATGTCTAGTAGAGCGTAAAGCTTTTACGATGGTAAATATCATTGGGTTCTCCATGCAGATATGTTATACATATAGTATATACCACGCGTGGCTCGTACTATTCAATTGAATTTTCCATCCATTGCATTGTCTCCGCGTTGTAATCACACGCCAGATATATAATAATGATGAAACAAATGATTTTAATGCCCACGAGGTGATTGAGATCACGATGGCTAGAGCCTTGATCCCAGGATCGTTTATTTTTATTTTATTCAGTATATCGGCGATTTTATGATGGAGGAATTTTCCCTGGGAAAATTATCAATGGGGATATGAGCTGTCAGTGACCCATATTTTTGTTGCACGGTTTAAGGATAATATCGTGAAACAAATATTAGGTGAATAGTAATGCGAGTGATTTCCATTATTCACAGGCAATGGGTTTGTTCGTAAGAGACACGGCACTTTGACCATAAATGCTCAGCAATTTTCGTTGACTCCATGCATGAGACCATGCGTGAATTCTTGTGAATAGACTGGGAATATATTATTCCACGCAAGTTTTCATTGTGAGTGTCGAGGGGGAGATAACTGCCGTGAGAACCGACACTATTATATCAGGTTTATTTATTTATGGCGACGTATCAGGCCATTTTGTGGTGGGGCGTCATCGCCTCGCGGATTTCATGAGCCATTTGAATTGCGCGGGGGAGGGGCTGTGGGTAATGCCGGGACTCCCCGGAATAGATATATCAGTTGGGGGGAATCCGCTGATACGGCAGGTTCCTACGGTTATCTCGGGTGATGGGATTTATTTGAGTGGATGACGGTATCACCGTATGTCTTGGAGTTATGGCTTTTTCTACTTCAGGTAATCAACAGAATTATTTATATTTTAGAAAATAATTTTTTTATGTCGTTAATTATGTATTTATATATATTATTTGTATTTAATTATGTATTTATATATATTATATTTATGTGAGGCAAAGATACAGAATGTTTTTTGAAATCATTTTCTGGATGTTTTTTGTTAATTTGAATAATGTATGGAATTTAGTGGATGTTATTTATATTTTTCCACGGAAAATGAACTCCGGATTTTCAATAAATACACATCAATATTTTCTAATGAGACTTAGAATTGTTTCATGAAATTTGGGATTTTGAAAAATGAGTGAATGAATGCCCTAAGAATTTTTTGTTTTTAAACAGAATTGTATTTGTTTTTATCGCGTAGTTTTCGCGAATGTAGAAAATAATTCGAAGTTAATGTTTCATTGTAGTCATAAATGTACAATAATAAATTAAATATCATCATATTCCGTGTCTATTTAAAAAACAATAACATAAACCATGTATTATTCTCATCTTCATACCTTCTTGTAAGAATGAAATGGATTCGATCTCCTTGCGGGATTTAACTTGAACGACGACATTTTTACGGGATTGGTATATTTATTTTATCCTCTCCTCTGAACATTTGAGTGAACTTATTCGCCGTGACGATCGCCGATACAGATTAACTGTTACTTTAACGGGCTCATCAGTATTCTTCTCGGAAAATAATCACGAAATTAAAATGCAGATTTCTCCAGAAAAAATTCTGGATATTAAACAATATTCATTAGCCACATAGAAAAAATGATAATAGAACTTACTCTAACGTTTACTGACAATTTCTCCTCTGGGAATCTACAATTCATTCCATTCATGAATTCCTCAATCAATTCGTTAATTTAATTAACGAAATATTGTTAATTGAATTGACAGTAAAAATTATCTCATGAGTTAATTTAATGAATAAAATGTGGAACATCAGTGTTTAGATTTAACTCTGTCTATTAAAGGTTTATAAATCCTCTGGAAAGAATAGCCTCCTCTCGATTTGAGTTCTCCGGGAATTTATTAGGTCACTGGATCAGATGATCCAACGTTTTATCCCTGCATCCGTAGGATATTGATCTCTATCACGTGTTTGATGAAATATTGAAGGTGCGTTTACACATTAAGCAGTTAGAAATATATGGAGAGAAAGGAGGATAGACCGGTTGGATCGAAGATTCGATCCGGCAAATCGGAAGTGTCAGGGTACATTGATCCCGTTCCGGTGATTCACCTTGGGGTATTATCGGGGTCGATCGAATTGTCAAACTCGAGAGAACTGAGAAAATCATTGAATCAATGCGAGATCGACCGGTCATTTTACCGCAATTTAGCACTTAGATCATTAAAAAAATCAGCTTTTACAAATTTCCTCAAATTTCCGACTATTTTGTCTCTTCCTGATTTATTTCTCCCTACAACTTATATTAATCTACATTGTCTAAACAATTCCATGAAGTTCTTACCAACACTCATAAAAAATGTATAAAAAATATATAATTATAGATTTAAATATCTTTTACATATATTCTGGTCCAGTTTCACATAAAAAATATATATTTTTAAATATAAGAATTTCCTCCAATAATCGTTAAATACTCCAGACGAAAATAACGCACATTAAGGTCAGACAGTGTTGGAATCCCCTGAAAACGCCGAAAACTGGTTTATAATTTCCCCTCAACCTTGACACTGGTCCAATAAAAAAGTGCAGGTGCCCTAACAAATTGATTATCACCTCATTAACCCGTCAGGTAACGGAATTAATGATATGAATTTAATCAAATGCCACCGGTGAAAGCGAAAAGCCATCTATAACTGATACCATGACCCAATGATCCACTTGTCATAAGTGTATCTAAATAAAGTCCATTAAATTTGACAGTGTAAATATCAGTTGTAAATGGCCCCCCGTGGAATCAAAACGTACAAGTGGACAGGTGAAATGAGTGGGAGGGGTGGGGAGGCCTTTACCAAGAAAAGAAGGAGAAATGCGTGGTATAAATGAAGGACAATGACCTAATTGTCTGTAGAACCATCAGTGCTACCTTCCTGGACAATCTCCTGTGGTAAATTAACTTTGGAATTTGCTGTACCAGTTGTTTTTCGTCCTCTTCCACCAGAACGCCGCGCATTATGAAGGTCAGTTACATTGTTTATTTTATTTTTTCAAGTCGTCAAAGAAGATGTCAATGATCTCTGTCCAAAGAGATTTTCCTATTTTAAGTCATCAAGCCTTTTGTTCTTCAATAATATTCATGAATAAATTGAGGAGTATTGAAAACTAAATCGCTGATCGACTATTTAATCTGTATACTATTGACAATATTCTGTGACGATACAATCAATAGCTGATCAATTGTCGAAGTTAATACTGATTTTTTCAATTTCTTCTCATCAACTTCTCCACTCTTCCCTTTTTTTATTATTGGTAAATTTAATAAAAATTGTGGAAATGTAGAATTTAAGAAGCGGATGATTTTGATTTTATTGTTAAGTAAAGGGATCCTTTTTTTAATTTTTTTTTCGATATTCCTGGGACTGATGGTCAATATCGAAATCAAATCAATGAACTGAAACAATTAAATTCCTACAATTGACGGATGAGAGGGATAGGATTGCCTTCGATTAAAGTAATTTCTCTCAATTACTAGTCGCAATTCCACACGAATGTACCTTGACGGTTGTAATTATAATTGAGATAATTGTCGACCCATTTATTAACATCTCATCATCATTAAACGATCATTCGTCTCATGGACTAGGTACTGAGTTCTGTGAACTGATTATTGAAATTGATGTGCGTTAAGAAAACGAAAATTAACTGATGAATGTAAGCTACGAAGTAGGTGAGCTACAGCATGCACTCGTGCCCTGGAATTCTTTCAATAATTATCAATAATGCACCTGAGGAATTGATACTGTGCAATAGGTTTTCACCTCATTAATGCACTGATGCACTAATCAGTCGTTCACGCTGTTAATGTGATAGAGGTACTTTCCCACTCATGATTAAGCAAATATTCGTGCATTGGAGTGATTGAAGCTATCATCAGGATTTCTAATTCACTGTTCTAAATACACAATGATAAATTGAATTTTCTAACGTGATTCTGTGATTTCACTTTGAATTGTCTTGAAGCGGAAAAAGAAATTTGTTTTACATTTTTTTCATATAAATCATTTTCTCATTTTCTTCTTTCAACGTGCATTAACGATTCCTGAACATTATTTTTAATTTATAAATTTTATGAGAGGATAATGAAGAGAGAAATTATCTCATCCTCTCCAATTATTTTTACATACTTTTTCACTCGCGAAAGACGAAGAAAGAATCTCGCATCAAAAATATGATCATCACTTGAAGAGTATTTTATTTATTAAAACCTGAAATCAATTTGGTTTACATATTTTTTCGTGTAAATCATTCACTCATTTTCTTCTCTCATCTTGCATTAACAATTTCTCAACTTTATTTTAAAATCATTATGAATTTTATGAGCGGATAATGAAGAGAGAAATAGTCTCGTCCTCTTTAATTATTTGCGCACGTTTTTTTTCTTTATATTTTAATCCTGAATACAAAAAATTGTAATTGCAATGAAAAAAATAAATCTTCCATTGGGAATATTCATCATTTGTAGAATATCCTATTTATTAATTAGAATAAAATCGAAAGTGATAATTCCTCTCATTAAAAAAAAACCAGTGAAATTTTATACTAGATTGAAAAAACTAATACATCCAGTCGTATATTTATTTTGTGAAATCAATTTCTGCAATTCCACTTATAATTACTATTTTTAAGATTCAGTGAATCTTATCTTTGCAATTAGTAGATTTCTTAATAGATCAAATGGATTTATTATTAATTATCAAAAGCTATTCCGTTTATTTATATTTAAAAATCGATATTGTGCGATAATTTTTTTGCAATGGCGGCATTTTCGCGTATTGTTTGAAAACATAATTCGGTGTTCGAGAGTATTCTGCACAGTAATCTTGGCATCGAGATGATAATTTGCAACTGAATGCCGGTATTAACAACACTTTTCTCCCTATCACGTAGATGTAGCACATTGGCCCACTTAAATGATTCCTTCACGTGGGTATAAACGCGTTAAAAACGTGCTTATGATCAGTGGGGACAAACTCGAGTGTCCAGTTATCGAAAAACTGTAGGTTCCGGTATTCAAAGAGACAATTTGCATTCCGTAGGTTTCACCAGAATTACTATCAAACGTTTGAATAATCAATTAGCTTTTAAAATAGCTCTACTCTCTGCTCACTACACCAGCACAACTTTTTCTGATTATTATCATTCCTGATGATGAAAATTCATTTTAATTGATGTAAATCATCGCTATAATTAATTTGGAAACTGAATCAAATTCAAAATCATTTTTCGCGATTCTTCGAATCCGTAAATTTAAACTATGGGAAATAATTCGAAAAATTGCTGGAGGAATTTGCTATTTTAATTTGAAATTACGTACTGGATAAATTTCAATATTTGATGATATATTGAAAGCGTTTGAATAATGGACATATATCACGTTGACAGGCGTTCAGCTGGATTCCTTGGCTGCTGGTGATATTTATCTGTATGGCAGAGGCGAGGTACAAGGTCCGAAGACCTCTGCCTCCTCCACCGCCTCCTCCACCTCAGATTTACAAGAAATCATGGCCCATTGGGCACAGAGTGTCCATGGGAAATACTGTCCACATCAATAGTAATAATAATTACCCACCAAAGAGGCCTCTATTTGGAAAGCCTCAGAACTTCAGGTATTTTCTTTTTAATCACACCATCAATTTCACGGGAAACCACTCTAGGGAAAATTCAATGAAAGTTATCGTAAAACAAAATATTCAATCGAGGAATTTTTATAACTTTATCGTAAATTTATTACTTGTCGTTAATTTCATTCATATTCGTTATGTACATCGGGGAGAAGGATACGATTACTTTAGGATAATGATGCCGTAATTTTTCCGTCCTACTATTGCATTTCTTGAATGAATTTTCGTTGATGTATGATAGACGACCAATGAGACCGACTTACAACGCTCCTCCAGCCTCTTGGAAAAATCCGATGCCCCTTTTAAGTGCAATACCAAACATCCCAGTCCACCCACAACGTCAGCCCATCAAGGAGTTCCAGCTGATGAGCAAAGTACCAGAGTACAGTCCTGAGTACCGGCCTGAACCCATGGTGATGCCTCCAACCCATCGTGGAGGCATTGACGATGATAAAGGCCCAATTCACACGATACCAGCGCCCAATTTAAGCCTCGCTGATAAGCCCTATAATCCGAATGACGGTACAGAGCATGAACATGAAGATAACAGACGATTTCCCAATGATGGACAGTACAATAATCCAGCGAGTGGTCACGAGGATCATCGGCGATTTCCCCACGACGGAGAATACAATCCTAATGTTCAAGGTAACAATCGCTTGGTTTATGAATTAATTTAAAAAAATTGTTGAATGAATTATCGATGACAATGGCAGTGGGTCTTTTTTTGAAAATTTCTGAAAATTTAATCGAATGAATATTCTCTTTCCAAGTGACAAACTACGGATATGGGACCTTGATGACAAGTGTCTCCCCGCAGAGGCCAGTGACCTCTCCTACCCCGACTCAAAATGTCTACGAAGTTACAGAGACAAACGAGATAAACTTCAAAGATTACCAGACAGTAGCTCCGACTTACTACACCCCGGATTTCGATCCATCGAGGATATCCACTGGTACCAGTGACATTCAGTCCAACGAGCTGTACCTGAATCATCCGCAGATCTCAAGGGCAGGTGTTGTGGGGACGAATATTCAATTTGGACAGTCCAACGTTCCGATGCAAACGAATTTGCACAGCTCTCTCCACGTCGGTTTTCCAGGGACTGGTCAAGGTCAACAGCAGAGTGGGCACGTTGTTTTTCCAGGGACTGGTCAGGCTCAACAGGACATTCGTGGAGGACAACAGGCACCTGATCTTCATGTTGGACATCCAGCAGCTGCTGGTCCACCTCTGTCAGCTACACAGCTGTACGATCTTCTGAATAGCTTCCCTCAGTCGTTTGATGAACAGTACGCAGGGGCACAGCAACCACAACTGCAGCAACATCTTCAGCAACAGCTGGGACAGCTCTTCCAGGCTGGGGTGAACCCCACGGCATTCTCGCAGCCCCAGATGCACTCATTCAATTATGATGAACAGGCGAATAAGCGACTGAGGAAACAGCAACAACAGCAGTTGCAACAACAGGTGCTTTGCCAAATAATTCTATTATTATTATTTTTCATCTGCGGTTTAATATTATTATGAGGTTTAATGTTAACTCAAATTAAATTGAAAAAATCAAATATTTTAGGGATTTTCAGATCATTTGACCAGAGCACTAGAGTAATATTTAAATATTTATCTGCAACGTATAGTTTTCAGGATTTAGACCGGGAAGATTTTCAACAGTGAAATGTATTTCTCATTTGATTTCCTCAGGTACTTGTTGGTCAAGACTATGCATCGGGTAGAGTAACAGCTGGTTATAATCTCCAACCAGAACAGACTCTGGACGTACGCAACAATCCCAACGTCAATCAGGATTCCCTGGGATATCAGCACCCCGAGCCATCGGCCCAAGCTGAGAATAACATCGATTACGATACGGCTATAGCGGCCACGAGCCAGAACCAGAACAACTACTTTGGCTCGAGTGGAGGTGATGACAATGTGGCTACTTCTTTTTACACGACTCTTCCTAATAGAGAAGCTGCGGAGAAACTGGCAGCCCTCGCAGCCGCTGGAAATGTCAACAGTCAGCTGATGGAACACATCAGAAAACAGCAGAAGAAACAGGAGAGTGAGGAGGCACAAGGGGACGAGCCCCTTCCAAGCAATCATAGAATTGAATATCAAGTTAGTGAACAGCTTGATGATGTACCCAGGGAGGAGAATCCCAGGGGTAGATTTAGATTCGGCTCGCAGAAGTATTCGCACAGGCAGCAGATTAGGCAGCAGCAGATTAAACAGGAACAGGTCATTATAATTTATCGATATTTATTCCTAACTATGTGCGGGGTATCAGTGCAATTGCTCATGAAACAACGATTTATTACGCATGAAGAAGGAACAAAAATATGAGATTCAAAAAAAAAAAATTAGGAAATCCCGATTTAAATTTTTTTGCGAGCAAAGTGACTTCTTTTAAAAGCGATGTTTTTTTGTAGCAAAGCTATAATTATCTTTATGTTCATTTTCATATTGGTTCATGCTGTACCAAATCCTTAAATCCCTAATTGTTTTATCGGACAACCGGTGATTTCACTTATATTCAGTTCATATATGATGATAGACGCCCCAGCGACAAGAAAAACATAAAAATGAAAAAAATCAATCACTAGATGAAAGTCACTTGTTCAATTCAATCATTATTCACACATATATTTAGTTAACATTGATAAATAAGCCTGTGAATTCCCTTGACTTCGCAGGAAAAGGCAGATAAACATTACGAACAGCAACAACCAAAACCGGAAGAGGAAGACGAAGAAGAGAAGCCCCTGAGAATAATGGTACCTGAAATGCAAGAGAAGAATCCCGACGAAGGGACGAGTGTCGAAAAATCTGTTGAGGACTACGATTACGACAGCATCGAGCCCGAAAATTCAAAAAGCACTACTTCAAACGACGAGACTTACGAGAATTCTAGTTCTGAATTCGGTACACGAATTAGTGGAAAAAATGAGAAGTGAAAAAAACTAAAAACCTTCTCATTCCCCTGGTATAAAACAAATCCAGTGTAAATAGATTTTTTATTCATTACTTGATATCTGGCAGAGACGCGAGTTCGTCTCACAACTGGAGCTTTATTTATTACAAATTATTTATTCTTAGGTTTAGGAAGTTTAAAGCTAAAGTTTATGTAATACCTGATGATGAGACAGCAGATGACAATTAGATTTCTCAGAGTGGAAATTCCAGTGTTATTTTCAATAAAAATTGTTGACAAAAAATAATCAGTAGGATGACGTTTATTGGATTCAATTAATCATTTTAACGAGTTGACCACTCAATATATGTACACAGATATCATCAATTAGTGGAGAAGAATTTGAGTTAATGTATGATACAAGGCACACGTCCGATCTTCGCGAGTGATGAGAGATTCATGTGTTATTCTTGTCGACCTTCAATTCATCATCATATCAAAAATGCCATTTGTGTCCAGGGGATTGAAAAATAAGGGAGGGATTTCATTGACACGTGAATCGTCCAGCGTACAAAATTTTAGAGTAATCACCCTATAAATTTAATTATTGCGTATATCATTTATCAAATTTTAAAGATTACCAAAAATGTGATCCCCACTACCTTTTTCCACATGATAATATAAGAATTTCCAAAGATATATGGGGCTTATGAATTCAGTAACGAGTGGATGAAATGTTCAAAGTTTATTCCATCAGGTCAGAGTTATCCTAGATCAGTACGAAAACACGCACAGAAGTCGATGAAGGTCTGGCTAATTCTCTTCGATTTGAAGATTTAATGAGATTTTTTTAAAATAAATCTCATGAGAGTCTTTTAAATTCAATTATCGTGTATTAATCACGTCCTGGACGATTCACACTATTAAAATCCTCGGGAGTGAAAAAAAACTGAAATGCAGGAAAACGTTTGGGCCATGAAAACTGAAGAAATAAAAGGAACGAATTTTTCCAGCCATCTCTCAGACATTTCAATCCAGCTTTTGCTGAGAATTTGTGGCTGAGAAGTTTTCAATGCACTTGTCTGATTTCTTTTTACTCCCGAGCCTTCTCAATGGACTTGTAAATCTTGGAAAATATTTCTCTTTCTTCATGATTACTAGAAACGATCCATGAACCAGGGGCGGCCATCATTGGTGCGTCTTTTTGTGAGAATGTCACAACCAGTCTCGGTGACGAGAAGAGTTTGCTCAAATTGGGCTGACCATTGACCATCAGCTGTCACTGCTGTCCAATTATCTGGCCACATTTCGTCCTTCCATGTACCCTGCGATATCATTGGCTCAATTGTAAAGCAATGGCCTGGTTTCATTACGCCGACTGCTTTATTTTCTAATTGAGAGGAGGAAAACGTTTATTATTGTCTTGGATATAAATCTTGGAGGAATCAATGGATGTAATTGCTGCGACAACTATGTCAAAAACATTCTTTCTTTAATCGATATTTTAATTAATGAGGGATTGCGTAATTAATTGATGGCGAATATCAATTGATTAAAAATTCACAATAAATTTTAATTCAAATGAAATAATTATTCTGTTCAAATATTCTTCATTGAATTCGAGTTGAGTGGTTTTTCTTGATTATTTATTGAATGAGTCAGATATCATCAGTCAACTCGTCCTGGTGAAAATTTTCGAATAATCTATGAACTTACTGGCATAATGAGGAACACTGGGTGCTGTGTGAAACAGTCTGTGTATCCCATGCCCGCAATAACTCCTGACAACACTGAAGCCATGAGCCTGTGCGTGCTTCTGAATGATATTTCCTATTTCCTTGTACTTCTCCCCCGGTCTGACGATGTCGATGGCCTTTGAGAGACACTCATACGTCACTTGGACTAGTTTCTTTATTTCCGGTTTAACATTACCAACGAAAAATGTCTCGTTCAAGTCACCATGGAAACCGTTGTGGTACACTGTCACATCCACTGCAATTAAAAACGAAAGATTTCTCCAAGATCATCAATTTTTCTCTAAAATTACTATATTATTAAAGAATAAAACATTAATAATTGTTTCATCGAGTTCATTTAATCTAGTTTGCAGGATCTCACCATTGCAAAGATCGCCATCCTCCAATGGCCTGTTATCAGGTATTCCATGGCAGATGACTTCATTAACAGATGTGCAACAACTGGCTGGGAATTGATGATAATTAAGAGGCGATGGATAGCAGTCCCTCTCGAGACAGGCCTCGTGAACGATTCTATCGAGTTCAGCTGTCGTTACACCAACATTGCAGGCCTTAGCTGCTTCGTCCAGCACTTCTCGTCCCAATTTGCACGCAATCCTCATCCCCTCGATCTCCTCCTCATCGAGAATTTTTATCTGGGCTGAACCCCGCACAGCCTGCTCACTCAGAGGAAGACCCTCTGGATGATCAGCGTAATCGGGACGCATTATTTCTTTTGGCACTTCACGCCGAGCTGGCTTTGGGTAAGGACGCAATTTCCCGGTGTAGTGGTAGGATGGCCAGGGATTGTATTCCCCGGATACTGATTGCTTCCCGCTGTCTCCCTCTAATGGTAGAAAATTATTAATTTTAATTAAATTCATTGAGCAATACTAAATTGAGAAATTGAATTGAGTGATCAAGAGTCACATGTGGGCTTACAAAAAACCGGGATTTTTGTGAAAACCTTTATAAATTTCTTATGAAAGATTATCGTTCACTCTCTTAGATTCTACTAATTAATTCAACTAATAGTTAATTCGTTTGGTAATTATCCATTCAGGAAAAACGAGTGCTTGGAATGCATTTTTGGGCAAAACAAAAGTAAAAAAATATATAAAAGCTTTTTGGCATCTCAGGATTAAGAGACAACTAGAGGACAAATGAAATTGTCTTGTTTGACTGCCTCGTCGAATTGTAAGTCGAATTTAGGGAATTTCCCGGGTATTATTTTTAGCCGTGTATCTACTTACTTGCAATGTCGTGAATAACTTTGTGGGTCTTCCAACTTCCTTTGAAGCAGTCCTAAAATAGATAATTCTGAATTTCCTTGCGAAGTTCATTGCACGCGAAGTCAATTAGTGAAGAATTAAAAGTCGCTTTGAAATTCGTTGACAATCAATTTTCCGGCTTATTAATACAAGTATTACGAATAGAATTCATTTTAGATTTTTTAAATTTCACCACAAAATAAGCTGAATTAAAAAACGGAATAATTATCAAATTCAATTTTCCACGGATTTTTAACAAATACAAATTGGTTTTTACACCCGAACGGAGTGATACGAGTCTTGATCAGAAAATTTTGATAAACGAAATACAGAGCAATAAAAAAATTTCTCCGATAATATCATAACTAAAAATCGATAAATTCATCTCAATAAACTTGTAATGAATATAGATACCTCCTCATTTTATGAATTTATGAAATTTTTATATTTTCCAAAGGTTCCACATTAAACCATTCATTATTGATTCAATAGAGTAGATCAATAGATAACAGCAATAGATTGCTGTTGCGCAAATATTAATTAAATACCAATATCGGGAAAAATCCCTTTTTTCCTGCAGACTTCCCGGATAATTTCTAACCTAAATTCCAAGTACTCACTTGACTGCAGAAATAAGAGCCCTGAATGCCAATTTTCAGGCAAGTTGGACACTGGAGGCTTGCAACAGCCTTGCACCCCGGTGTCTCGCACATTCCAAAAGCCAATGACATTTTTAATTACCCTCTAAACTTTATTTCAACTGCAAAATGATAATGAACAGGGTGAAATCCTCGTTGTGGCAGCCATGTGCTGCTTTATCGACGCGCAATCTCCAATTCTCAGGTACAAGTTTGGGGGAATCCCAGGAGAGAGGGAGTTTCCTCCTATTTCTAGCGCTTCAATTCAATATCTTTTTCGTAATTTTGATTTTTGCGTTAAAGCCAGGTCCGTAGTTGTTCGGACCTTCGGACGGAGGAAACTCCAGCAATTAGGTACGTCATCTTATTGCTATTTTTATTGCCATTGTTATTATTTATCCGTGTAATTTTGCGGGTTGACAGCTGTTTTATTTCTTTGTTGGGAACTCGTTTTTCAAGTTATCACGCGCATTCGTCTGTTTTCTCACCTTTGCGTAATGATTGCGATCAGTTCGCGTTATTTATTGCCTAGTTTTTATAAGATTTTTTTACTGAACAATTGATTCTCATTATTTTTTGTTAAATTGGATAACGGAGATAAACCCAGGAACGAACATTCTTTGTGATTTTCCTGTCTTTGCACATGTTTTGAAATTTTATCATTGATATTAGAAAAAAATTAAGTTATTTAAAAATAGTTAATCCATTTCACAAGTGGAATTGTTTTTATGATTAAAACTGCGTTAATTGAATCAATCCTTTGGATCCCCTCCCAGGATTATTTAAGAATAAAGAATTATAGATAAATTAACGAGCAAGAATATTACTGAGAGTTTGAACTTTTGTATTGAAGATTCTGGAAAAAATTGTATCTACAGAATTTCTGTTAATTGGTAGTTAAAAATAATTCAAAGTCGATCCATCCTCGTAATTAAAACAGGAAATCTGAAATAGGAGAATTAGTATCTCACGGAGATAAATTTGTAAATGTGAAATCTATCTTTACGTTTATTGAAAGAACAGATGTGGTGAGTAAATATTATATTTTTGGAATATGTTAAATCAAAGAAGTGTAATTGTTCGTCGAACCGTGAAGGTGATAATTCCATAACTACAGTTTAGGGAACTAAATGTCATGGGAATGAATTGCTGTTAGACTGATTGTAACTCATTTTGACGGCGAAACACTTATTTTCCACTTCCGCTTTCAGCCCACCGAAAATGAACAAGTCAGTGATTATCATATTCCTGGTTTGCGTGGTCTACGTAATAGCTGAAAATGACTATAAACCAAATGACCTTCTGGAGCCTGTAGTAACTGTTCTGCAGATTCATGAAACCACTAAATTGTCGGAAACTGATGAAACTAAGAAAAAGTGGGGTGTTATCTATCCCGGTAAAAAATAATTTACAACCAGAACAATTATTTCCTTCTGCCTCCTCTGACAAAAATTTCTACACAATTTTCCAGAAAAGTTTTCTCAGTCACCAATTTCGCGTTTTCTTATCTCTTCAATTGATTATATTTCTCTTATCGCTATTGATTATATTTCTTTTATGGCGATTGATTATCTTTCTCTTCTATTGATTATCTTTGTTATTTTATTCATTTTATTATTCATTCAGATATTATTCTCTACCAATTCGCACAGAAATCCTGTTCGGAGGAAAAGAAAACATTTTTCGCTCTTTTTATATTCTTATCAAGAAAGTAATGAGGAAAAAATTCTCAGAAACCACCAAAGTCCTGAACTATTTCTCACCAACATATTATTTCTTTGAATAATTAAAAAAAAAAGTATAATAGTATAATGCAATTCATTTCAGAAAAGACTTTTGTATTTTTTTTTCAGTTTTCAAGTAATGATGAACTTCTTCTCTCTTCTTCTCCTCTCTTTAATTGCACTCCTAAGTTTATCCATTTTTGGAATTAATATTTTTCTGTTTGAAGGTACTAAATGGTGTGGACAAGGAAACAAAGCAAAAGATGAGAACGACTTGGGCAAATTCAAACAGACAGACAGGTGTTGCCGTGCTCATGACAGATGTCCGGATAAAATTAAAGGAGGAACATCCAAACACGGGATAGAAAACAATGGCACTGTCACAATGTACGTTATGAATTATGATAAATGTATCTCATGAGTTTATTCTCCACTCATTTGATTTGATTAATGGAGTTATTACCGGTTTTTATCCCTAGATTGAGCTGCCACTGTGACGATATTTTTTTCGATTGCCTCAAGGGTGTTCGGAGCAAGGCGAGCAAGATTGTTGGCACCTTGTACTTTGACATTGTCAAGAACAAGTGCTTCCAGCCTTCCGCGGAAAACTACGGAGAATATGTTATGACGAAAAGTAGAAAATTCTCAGGGAACAACTTCATTAAATTCATAAGGAAACTGTTTGGATAAAGTTAAGGATTATATTCATAGAGAGACTACATCTCTTCATCTTTACAATCAATGAATTTCTAACGCTAGAAAAAACGTTTTTGTGATTGAGAAAATTGTTTTATCTAAGAATGAATAATTGGGAGTAAATTTTCTGCGGATTTTTAAAAATAAAAAAAAGATTTTTTAAAATTCAAAAGAAATGATAGTGGAAAGTTTTTTTCTTTAGTTGAGAAGAAAGTCATAAAAGCTAGTTCAATGAAAATTCACGTCAAGACTCATTATTATATATAAAAAAAATAAGCGTTGTGAACTCACGATCAATATTTGCGGGATTTCGTCTCAAAAATGACAATATTTTCACTCGATAACTCAGGATTGAACGGAGTATTTGTACAAGTACATGACAGAGTTTGGTAATTTCCGGGAAATTATTTCAAAAATCAATACTGTTGTGACGACAATAAACAAAATATATTGATTCACCACGTCACTTGATTGTTTTAATTTTTGAATGATCGTGGAATATTTTAGATCATTGCCACATCAAAAAAATGATTTTCATCTTCTTTTTATATAATGTTTTTATGTTATTGTAGTTAATTTCATAAAATATTTTCCACGTTTACTGACCGATAAGATTCACCACCTGTTAACAATTGGTTTACACCTAATGATTTTCCAGACGATTAAGATCCACAATTGAAATTCACATGAATTCATATAAAATCAAAATCATTACTTTGCCATGTGCCCCACCGACTAATTAAAATTTAATTGCGCATCGATACCGAATGCCAATGGTAATTACAATTCGATCACTAAAATCGTGTTTATATTAACTGACAACACCCTAATTAATTGATAATTGATGATAAATTTCGATAAATATAATTACTTATCTCTTCATACTTGATGGAATCATATCAAACTGGTGTTTCCCTATCTCAGAATATGATCTCACTTTTTCATAATTTTTTAAGTATTTTATTAGAATCATCGATGACCTAGAGGAAATTCAAAATAACTAGGAAACGATTGGGTAGAACTTGATTAACATGAATTACCACATTTGCTTTTGCCACAAGCCACTTGAACGCAAGTTTGATGTCTACAGTTTGTGTTTATTAAATATTCAAGCTTGAGTGAGCAACAGTCAACGAGCTCCAAAGTATCTTCCTCATAAAAGAGAGGCGTCAGGCATTACTCTCTCAGTCGTTGGTAACGAGGTACTGATTACGGATTATTGTTAACAAATATGAAAAAAGTTTTTATTTCATTTTGCATTATTCTTGCGAGTGCTAACGGTCAGTTCGAAGATGATCAGGTTGATCTCAACGAGGGATGGTTCACGGATGAAATGTACAATGATCCGTACTTTGTGGATTTGAGGAATCAAGGGTATGGGGTTATTTTGCCAGGTAATTAATTCATTAATCAATTAATTGTCGTTGAATAACTTCAGGATTGTTTTAGCCAAGTGGTGAAACGAAGAGAGTTGACTCTCACTCATGAATTATGAGAAATATCTTCGAAACTAAGGGAAATGGCGTCATTTTCGTAATTACTTTTTTTGGAGATATCGATCAGTTCTGCAAAAAAGGTTCTTATAACTATTTGAGGATTGCCTTTAATTTGGGAGATATTTCTGAATAATCCACCAACGAGCTAGGTCATACTGTCTCCCTCTTGAAAATTCACCCTGAAAATTCTGTTAGCCCTTGGATTTGCTGATAATCCCCAAAAACTCAGTGTACACTGGACCAATCCTGTTTAACAAATCCACCGCTTAATTTTCTTTACTTTAACCCAGTCCACAAATTTTCTCCCCATAATATAAGAAAAAAATCCTCGAATCTTATGGACAGAATATAAATACATGACGCTGAAAAATGAAGAAGAGACGGCGGAATTTCATTTCAAGAGAAGAGACTGAAAAATTTCAGATGAAAAATGATACGACGAGTCCTCAGCTTCAATGAAAATTCCTATTAAATTTATTCCTCTTAAAAAAGATTTCTCTATTCGTCAGACAAAGTGGAGAATCTCAGGCGCCTTTTGCAATGTTTAACCAGCCGTTTATTTTTTCTTTTATTCATATCTATCGATTTATTGTTGAGTCACAAAATCATCTGAATTTTCCATTGCATGAGTTTGAAATTAATTCAAATAGAGAACACTCCATTAATTTGTAATTCATCTTAAAAATTCAAGAAAACTGGGAACTGCCAGAATAATGAAAAAATTAATTGATTCACTAATGAAGAATTCTACAAAAATTGCAAGTTTTTCTACTTGAAATTTCAAGTACAATTTCCCAGTATACCTCTTAACAATTGTAGAATATTATTATTTTAGAGTACTATTGTGTGCGTAATGACAAATCTCATAATTTTTTATAATCGCTTTTATTCGGAAGAAATGCATTACTATTCGCAATAAGATGATAAAAAAAACGATAAAATTGACGATTAGGCACAAAGTGGTGTGGCAGAGGGTCTAAAGCCAGGGGTTTCGATGACCTTGGGACCTACAACCGTACTGACGCATGCTGTCGTGCTCATGACAATTGTCCAGACTTCATGAAGCCCAGAGAGACCCGCCATGGCCTCACTAATCCCTCATCATCCAGCAGGCAAGAAAAACTCATTACTTTCTCCCATTTCTCTTCTTTACCCCTTTTTTTGGTCTTATCTTTCGTACGTTACAGAATGATTACGCAAAAATGCAATGACTTCGCCCTCCTCTCTCAGATATGGATGGTTAATTGAAAAACGTTGATTACTCGAATTTTCCATTAAGTATATCTCAGTAATTACGGGTCAAAGTATTGAAAATTTTGATAATCGTTTTTCGATCCTCCTAACAGAATTGAATTGAAACTCGTTTTTATTTTATTATTTTTATACCCTTAATATTAAGTAGAAATCCTTGCCGAGTACAATTATTGGTTTATAATACTTTTATTACAGTTTTTTACCGATTGTTTAAACAATTTAATGTGATAGTGTTTTTGAAATTTGAAATCCGCTCGAATTTTCGGGGTAGAATTCAAGAAGATTTTGGTAATTTTGTTCAGAATTTCGGGAAATTTCTTTCTTGAAATTATAGAAATCAATTGATAAAGTTAATGAAACGTATTTATTTTTGTAATTACTTGATAGCCTGAGCTGTGAGTGTGATCGGGAATTCTATCAGTGTCTCAAGGATAATCAAAATTTCCCGAGTAAAACTATTGGAACTCTGTATTTCGATGTTCTGAAGAAGCAGTGTTTCGAAGAAGTCAACGGGAGATATGTGTGGAAACAGCCGCAGCCGTTCTCTGAGGGAAAATTCATACAATTTTTAAGAAAACTTTTATAACTGTCTCTTATTGCTGTGAACATGACATTGCAATTAAAATCGTACACCGAATTACCACCCAATTACTCAACTTTGTACAAATAACCGGCCCATACAATATTTTACTAATTTAATACAATAACAACAATATTAAAAATTTAATTAATCATTTTTTATTAACCATCATGATGTAATCAATTTCAAAATTCCAGATTTCATTCTTCCATTTTTCAGGTTGATATTAAAATTCGATGAAAAAAAATTTCAAACAGTTTTCGAGAAAAGTTTCATAAGTTTTTAATCTATGTGAACCGAATTTCGGAGCAACATTAGATTTATTTAAACAATAGTATAGATTCTATGAATATTTGAAAAAATCAATATTTCAGAATTCATGATAGGGAGGACGAGTTTTTAAAGAATGACATCGCAATTGAAAATCTCTTGACTTTTCATGAGCAACAGATAGTGTCAGCCTTGATGTGAGAATTTTTTAAATTAATGCACATAGATTTTATTAATGCAAATAATTTTTTTTTAATGCAAAACGCGGAGTATCGATTTTCCATTTAAACATGAAATAATATTTCAATTTCAATAGGAGATCAATCGCGGAATAGAAACAGTTGATTATTCTGGATTAATTGAGAATACAAATTGTCCGAAATTCGTGTCTTGAATGTGTAAATAATAAAAAAGGGGTGAATATTCATAATAAACGAGACAGAATCTGCGAGATTATTATGAATAATAAGGGAAGACGTGGTTCCAGTGCCGTTGAATACATTGCAAAATGGTTTTACTTGCAATTAAGGCGAACGAGAACGTTAAACCGTAAGTCTACGATGTGTGACGACTTAATTACCCTTGGTAAAACGAATGAAAACTCTGGTCTGTATGAAAAAAACTCCTTTTACCTCTTGAAGCTTTAATCCCGGCTTAAAAATTCACGTATCATCCTTCCTACCGCAATCGTTTTCGCTCTTTCGTCTTCACCTTTTGTAAAAATAATAAAAGTCACTCGTTAACAGAAAAATTGCGTGGCTCTCGTACACGTACACAATCCAAACGAATTAATTAGAGAACTCGAGATGCATTTGTATGCGAATGAACAAACTCTGATTGTAGATCTCTTTTTTTCTTTCTTAATTGCCCAGGGTCAATGTATTCTCGAGATCATTTATGAAACCTTTTTCCCGAGATCTTCCACTCTCCAATTTATTTTTATTTCCTGGTGGAAGCATTCAAGTTTTTTTATTTGAGTTTCCAAATTTTCCTCCTAAATTATACCATCACGAGAAATACTATAGGAAAAATTATTATTTCTCTGGTACAAATATTGAAAAATATCATTTTTTTATCTTGGTATTTGTAATATTAATATTTCATGAATTATTGAAATCAATTTTTTTTTAATACATAATTTCTATTTCATGAAAATAAATACCAAATACTCTGATATTACACACCTACTAAAATTCCTTTAGTGAACACATTATAAAATATTATTTTTTTTATATTGATATTCAATGAATTATTGAATTCAATTTTTTAATCCGAATTTTCCATTTCATGAGGACAAATGGCTAATAATAATATATTTAATAATTAGTTGACAACGTAACAGTGAATATGGTCATATTTAATGTTGAAAATAAATAACGTGATATTTTTTTAACATAACATAAAAGCTTCAAATAAAAGTAAACCACATGTTTGAGGATTTGAATAATTCTACGGAAAATTCCTTCTCTCCATTTTCACTCCCAATAAATTACACGCTTGAAAACTATTCTTTTGGAGTTGTCACGATTCTCCATTTTCCATCTCCATTTTTTTCTTTCTCGAGGGGGAAGGGGGCCGATTCGTTAACGCTGATTAATTATCCGGTGGCTCTCTTTTTTTTTCGTTGTACACCTTGGACTCCTGCTAAGAGCCGAATGCAGTTGCACCTCCCACAGCAAACTTTATGCATGAGCGATTAGAAAAGAAAAGAAGAGGATGGAACAGGAAGGAAAATTAATGTTGGTATGAATTTAAATCAATTCACGGCGTGAGGGAAAATTGAAACATTTGAGATTTCAACTAGAAATGCTGGGTTACTATCTGGTGCCTCAACCAAGCGAAATATTTTAATTAATTTCGCTCCAACTAGCTCACACACACAACACGCCGAAGATACCGATCGGAAACTGTCGCCAGCTCAACTTTTCCCGTTAATTATTGTCACGTTATTTTCCAAATCCATCGAATTATTAGCGATTATTTGAGGAAATATTTTAACGAATTTCCTACCCTAGAGAGAAATTAATTTGATAAATTGTTCGCATCAATCAATTTGAATTCCCAATGATCGAAGTAAAAAGTATTATACTGAAAATTTTGAGTGAATGAAATTGAAATTTTTAACAACGACAAATGACCTAAATCCAATTAGTTCAATTTTGATAAAAAATTCGATATTGGACATTTTTTTACATCTCTTTTTCCTCGTCGCTTTTTTATATCATGTATATGATGAGTTTATACATGAAAATAATACGCATCAGTATTTGTGAGGATAACAGAGATCATTACGAATTTTATTTGAACGGAATTACTCTTTTTCAAAATGTGACATCGATTGTCAACAATAATTCTTGATCAAACGGACGGAGTCGAATAATTCCAACGGCAATGTAAAGAGCTCATTGAATATATCCGGATAAATAACAGAGAATCCTATGATAATTAGCAATAAACGTGAATTTTCAAACGTTACATAACGATGAGAAAATGCAAAAAATCGAAAAAAAGGAAAAACCTGCAATAACGTTACAAAAACAAAACTAAATCAGATACAACTGATGAACTTTTGAAGATCAACAAATGTCTATTAATTGGCGATAGCTAGGACAAGTGCATTTTTTTCGTCACCAGGTTCTAACCAATATTCCGCAAGTGAAGGAAAATATCGATATTTTCATAAATACCTTTTTTGTAGCTCTAATGTTTGTCTACAAAAAATGTTGAAGCAAAAAATTTGTTATCTTCTCCAATTCCGAGATATTCGCACAAAACTGGCATAAAAAAAAATACACTTATCCTAGTTTCCCAATTAAAATTATCGTAGGTATGAAGATAGAAAAATTGAAATTAAAATAGAAATTAAAATGACGTAACTAAAAAAAATTAAAATTATTGTAGGTATGAAGATTTAGAGGGCTGGGGTTTTGCGACGTAAATTTAAACCCCAAAGGTCTGCGGCTGACGTAAAGGGTGTCCGAAAGGGTGATCCCTTAACAGTAATTCGATAGCCGAACTATCTATACATGGAATCAGTATAATTCCCTTTCTTTTTTGTCAAATCCCCTCGGCGATTTTGTGGCCCGGGGGAAGGAACATGTGCTTTCGGACATTCATCGATTCATACGTAAAATATTCGTTCGGATAATTGCTAGAACAGAAGTTTTCGTAAGAACCAAAACTCACGTAAATATTCACGCGAAGATCAATCCCCAATGAATCATCACGTTTTATCAATTTTTTATTGTTCTAGCAATTCAAAACCAAAAGTTTTCGCTCACTAGTTTTTTGGTTGCTATCAGAAATCGGTGGTTGAAAAGTGGTATTTATCGAAATGAAAAGCAATTGTAATGATTTTTTCCATAATTTTTTGTTATCATTGAAGAGTGAAAAACATTTTAAAGAAGTCGATGAAGGTTTTAGTTATTTACCAAGGAATTACCCTTGGAAAATTACAGCTCCATAAATTCCCTTTAATAATTCAGCCCTGTCGAGTCATTTTTCTCGAGGCGTAAAAAAGTTTCAAATTATCCCGCAATAACGGAAGATGCCACGCTTAAAAAATATATATATTTTTACAAGTCTGAGTTTGTAAAAAAATCTGCAAGGATATTCACCAGAATCTTCGCCTCAACGAGGCTGAAAAGTCAACCATTCACTAAAAAATCACTTATAATTTTCAAGATAAATGAGAAATTCAATGACCGCTTTTAATGCAAATTGAAAACTTCAACATTTCCGAATTAAAACATTCTGATGACTTACGGATATTCCGAGCTTTCTAAATTTTCGATAATTAATTTTTTAAATAGAAAATTAATTTGATTTTCAGTGTAAATTATCCAATAAATGAATGTTTTCTTGTTTTTCTTTCAGATAAAGGAACTAGTCTATGAACTCATTAAATAATTCCAATCGCATTACACCCCCAATTTCCCCAAGCCTAAAAAATCCCTCATGATTAACCCCGCGAACCCCAATTATCTAAAATTAAAAAAATAAAATTGAAGCCAGCAAGCTTTCATCATGAAAAATTCGAATGACTGAGGTTTCGAGATTTCTACATTTTCAAACCTGTTCCCTTAATTGAACTCCCAGTGCAAATTTTCCAATAAATTATTATTTTATTTCGAATGGAATTTGGCATCTGGCCGATTTTTCGATTCTCGAATTTTTTTTTTGTTTTTTTTTTTTTCAGATAATGGAAATAGGGTATGAGGATAGAAATGAGTTACCCTTGTTAGCGGTGGTAAGAGGAAAGAAAACGAAATCCCCCACCCGTTGGTATATGCCTGGGCGCTCTCTCGTGGCTTCACCTCCTTGGGGCGCGCGCTTTCGAACGTCACATCTAGTCGGCCCGTGGCAAACCAACGGACGGACGCATAACCCGCCACTCAACACAACAACTCCATCATCTCCATCATCTCCAACTCGCCCCCAAAACAACTCCATCAACGCGTGTGCACTTGTCAACAAACAGATCAAAAAATGTTTAAAAAATCCGCGAACATGTGTGTAGAGTAACCGTTAATCTATACGAGTCAAAACTCCCTCGAACTTTGACCTGCAGTCGTCAGAGAACTGACCGATTATCAACCGCCACGCAACGTTTAACCAGTAAAATTGTGAAAATAGAGACATTCACCCGAGACTATTCAGTTGTCAATTAAAAACCCCCCATATCCCCTTTTTTCAAACCCTAAAACTCATTACCCGAATTCAGAGCAACTCTAAACGAGTGAACACCGAAATAAATAACAATTATTCACAAAGAGCCTCGAGATCTAAATCACCAATCGATTGAATGGATAAACTCCAGTCATAAAATCTCCGAATTATAAATTGAGATACTGAAAAGTAAATTGTCGTCTTGAGGAGCGCGAAAATACTGACGTGTCAGGTGAAGTTTAAATTTATATGAACAATAAAGGAAAAGGCGAGAGGGATTTCACCAAGTGGAGGAATAAAAATTGAGGGAGAAGTTAGGGAGAAAGTGGAAATAAGGTAAAGGGTAGAGGTTTAGCGCGGGCGTAAGGTAAATCGGATTATATGATTTGAGTTTTTGTTTTGCTGGGATGAGTCCAGTTTTTTTTTTATCCTCGAAAGGGCTGATTTTGTTATGACTCAGTGGAAAGAGAGTGCAGTGCCTGTTGATCTGGTTGAAAAGCTCTGCAGAGATGAAGCTGCATTTGGTGCTTCTTACTGTTGTTCCGATTTTCTTTGTGGAGAGAATCACGTGTCGTGTTTTACTGGGGAATAATGAGACGATTGTCCAGGGGAGGAGGAGATTTACCATTGAGGAGTTAGTTAATGGACAGTTTCCACATTCTATTACCGGGGATCTCGATCTCGATGTCTGTAAAGCAGGTAAATTATGGTTTTTTTATTGCTACCAATCATGATTTTATTGTTGACGAGTGGATGATTCGAAGAGGAAGTGAATATTTGGCCTTCAAGAAATAGTCGATCTGGTATTTCTACGAAATTCTTAAATCCCTTGAGATCAATGTAAAAATATTCTGCGCCCTTTTAGCCTAAATTACCGAATTTCGAAAGACTTGAAAAAATAAACCGTTTCTATCATTTATGATTATTTCATGACTCACGAAGTTAATGAGCATGCAATAATTTTCCTGTATGTTTTTATAAAATTTTATGGATTTTTAAAAAGTTGAGGGGAAATGCAGGAAAATTATTGTACGCTCGGGATATTTGTCCTTATGCCGTGGTGGGTAGAAATTCCCAAACGTTTTTATTATTTTATTATATTTGGAGGAATACTGTTGATTTTTTTTTCATTTCATAAAAAATTTGAGAGTTATTCTCATAGAAAAATATTTGTTTTGGGTGGAAGTTGAAGAAATGAGTTTTTAATTGCTCCAGAATCTATTGATCGAAGTTTATAGTGATATCAATGAAAATAAATTGTGAGGATGGGATGATCCTGGCCTGTAAGACACTGGTGGGCTCGAAGAAGAGCCTCTTATCTCCTGTCCCAAAGTGCCCCTGACCGGAAACGAGATTGAATGCCGTAGAAAGAGACAGGAGGAATAGTAAAAATCTCTTCTATTTTATCTCTCATCTATCCACCTCTCAACCTCCCTGGATCACTCTGAATCACTCACCTTCTACCAATTGCCAATGTTGCACTTCTCTTTGGTTTATAGCCTTTTCCACAATGAAAACTTTTGTAGCGCATTTTAGTACGAGGTGGGACCCAATCGAAAGAAAATTGAACCATCAGTCAAACAGTTTTTTTTTCTTCTGGAAAAATGCTATAATTTTTATTAAAAATTGCTGAAATTCTTAGGGCAGATGAAATTGAAATCGAAATTATTGTCAGCAAAAATAGCTATAAAACTTTTTCTGTTACGACTCTTTCAGAATTTTCCATTTATCGTAGTGCAATCGTAATTATTTTTTAATTTAAGTACAACGTACGTCACATGACAAAGTGATATTAATCAGAAAAATGAGGAAAATGTATTTTTGTCCTTTCAATGATTACGAAATTTCAGTGGACTTTAAGAAGTTATTGCCGATATCTTCTCATTTTTCAAGTTTTTTCCAAATATGTGAGAAACACGTCACAAAATAAACGTGAAAAAATATACAGTCTCTGAGGTTTATTATTATGGAATGTCCCACGAAGTTTCATTGCCGTAAAAATTGCCACATTTAAAAATGAAGAAAAATATCTGATCCACGATATCCCAGAAATTAATAATAAACCTAAACAATTAGAAGTTACCGCCAATAACTCGTTAGACATGCAGTATTTTTAATAAAAAAATTGAAACAATTGTGGTCAGCTGGCCATGAACGTCCAGTCTCCTTCCATGAGGACGTGAAGATAATTCTGATGCTTGTAAAATGGTAGATGAGGGAGGGCAAATTGAATTGTCACATACTGTGATGACATTAATTGCTGTGTATTGTGGTGAAGATTACTCTGTTGAGATCATACTTCAGATGGAGATCAAAAACTATTGGATAATGTCATTCGCATACTTCGCTTGGTGAAACATCCCCCAATAGAACGCCTCGTTATACGATTTTCTATAGATTATTTGAACGAGGGAAAGAAGTAAATCAACCCCAGTACTGCCTTGACGACAGCTCAACCGTGCAAACCATTACAGAAATTTATCTGCAAAAGGACCCAAGTCAGCAATTCTGCAGACTTTCAATCTACTTTGAATTTTTCTCATTGATATTTCTCCCATTATAATTATCAAAGAAAAATCCCTCCACTTCTCAATGCGAATTGAATATCCATTTAGATTTTATTGGATGAATGTGCATTCAATGGAAGTAACAATTATTATTCAATCGAATGAATACTTCATTCAGGCTTTTTTTAATGTGCTCCATTGTTTTAATTGATAGTATAAAAAAGTTACGGTATTGGCAACAGATGGAAGGTTGTCTGCAATTTTTATGCAATAAATGTAATTGTTGCTGGATTTATTGCATTTTTAAGGAGAGTATCAGAATGAAAATTCCTTCAGAGTCAATATGCTAGACTGAAGTTATTTAAACTCTGGGAACTTCATTCCCTTTGACCTGAGATCGAGTACTGGTTGAAGTTCAACTGTTAACCGATCTATTAGAATTTACTTTTAAAAATTGTTTAATGTTTAAGTCAGGGTTTTCAAAAATTGGACATTTCCAATTATTTTCTTGATATCCCTTTATTGTTACCGCTGCAATGCAAAATATCGATGAATATTACAAATCATTACAAATTATAATAATTTTTAGATCATTGAAACGATTAAAGTTGATAAAAATTTCTGGAATTCAGAAATAAAAAATCTGTTTCACCAAATTTTTTCTCAACGAAGTATCTCATGAGTTTATTTGTTCTTGTTCCGTTTGCGTCGAATTAGTGAATGACTTTTTTGTTTGGCAGTTAATCCACGAAAAATCATCCGGGAGAATTGGCGATTACACAGTGCCTTGCACTTCTCTTCTCGTCGACGAAATTTTTTTCACCGTTGTCTCGAATTCCCTGTGGAAGTCTGTAAGACGAGTTAACGAGCAAAAACAGGGACCCCCAGGCCTTCTCAACTCTTTTCTTTGCTCTCTTTGACTTTTTTTCTCCAACGAACTGTGTCGAGATATGTGTAACAAGCTGTCCATTTTTCTCCATCTGACGAACCAATTTCTAAAACCTTTTTGTTTTTTTTTACTGGAAATAAAAAATATTCTCGAAGGGAGTGCAGGGGATCCACGAGTCTTTCAACGATTTTCGAGTGAATATTTGCGAGGAGAATTCAGCTAGGAAGGAAGATCAGAAGACATGTCTGTAATATTCAACTGAAGGAATGAGATATTCGTAATAAATCTTTCCGTACAATAGTCCATCCGGGATAAAGTTTTTAGGAATGCTTGTGATACTCTGAATATTCACAATACGTGAAAGACTCCCTCATAGAGAAAGACTTCGAGAACTACTTTTTTAAAATTCTGTTTCACCCCGGAGGGATTCTAGCTTTGGATACCAATTCAATTGGAGATACACTGAGAGAAAGAATAAGTTAAAATTGCCTATCCATTTGGTAACCGTGTTGTGTTCGGGTAAAATTAGTCTACAGTTTAGTCAAGATTTTCAACTGCTCACTAAAAATTATCCAATCATTTGAGAAAATCTTTATAACTCTTAGATAATTTCTCCCAAGCGGCTAGATCATTCAAAATTTCTCTGCGCACTGCACACTCACTGAATTTTTTCCTAAAAACCAAGTCAGAGAAAATTTTCCGGAAATTGAGTTTTCCACTACATCAAGGGTATTCATGTTTCCGAAGAAGTTTTCTAACCGGTGAAGTAGTTTATGCAGTTTTTCTTCACGGTAGAGTAATGCTTCAAGCAATCATAATTAATTTTGAGGTGGTGAAATTGGTAGAAAGAAATTGCATTGATTATTCATATGAGAGGTCCCACATGGATAAACTTAGATTAAAAAAAAAAGTCTCTCAAAAAATTCTTATTAATTTCATTGAAAAATTTGGGGAAGCTATAAAATTGCAGCCGCACGAATAATAAAAACAACAATAATAATAATAATAATAATAATGATAATAATAATAATGAATGATTTTTATTTATAATTTTTTTTAAATGTGATATCATTTTACCTTTTTGAAGGGAAAAAAAATTGAAAGGTAGAATTTTTAGCACCACTTTTACTATCGAATAATTGTGTTATGCGTAAATTGATTGATTAGTAGAATTACTCCAATGGATGAGTCTCTTTTGTTTAAAATAAAAATGAATTCTACCCACGTGATGACTCGATAAAACTGAGAGAGTTGTGCACTCATCGGTGTCTATTCTTCTCGTGGAGATGAGTTCGTGCATGACGTATCCGACACGCGAGTTTCAACTTCACTATCTCAAGGAAAAAAGCCTCAAACAAACAGTTCATCCCACTGCAAGTTACTAACAGCTTTTTCCGTTCCAATTCCATCGCATGCGTGCACTTTTACCAGTGTTTAATAAAAAAAAAAAATGACGAGTTTCACCTAAACCTTTTCCTTGTTCTAATTATAATATTCCCCACCACCCCGATCTGTATTTTAATTAAATATTTCATCGGATCACGGCTTGTGTTCAATTCTTTAATTAATTTCGCATGGAACGTCATTCCAGGTATTGAATTCTATTCAACAATATTTTTAATTCAAATTGCTCCGTTCTGTGCCATTCAATGCGGAATTTCAAGCTCTGAAAAATCGGGATAATTTTATCGCTCTGTACGCCAACATTTTTTCATTCGGAAAAAACGTGCGTGGGAAGTATTAAATTGATCTCTGACTTTAAAATTGGCAATTTCAATCGAGGAACCAGGAAAATTATGAAAACTAAATTACGAAATTATTTCGTTTTTTATATTTCGAGTTGGGGTGAATAATCGTAATTTAATTACTCTAGGGGATGATTATGGTGATAACGACCTGGAATCAACCCTCTCAATATTTATATCAACATAAAAAAATTCCGTCACTTTCTTTTTGGAAGAAAATAAATCATAAATTCGTGCCGATCTATAGATTTCGTGTAATGACTCGGTTGTAAGTGATAAGTTAAAAACATCTCTACAACCCGTCAGTTTCCGACGTAAATTCTCCTCTGGAAATTTCAGTATTTTTTCTTCATGAACATACTAAACAGCGCCCATAAAACAAGAAAATTATTTCAATAATTCACCCCTAATTGCCTGCAAATAATCGAAAATCCCGAAAAACATTACCCTCCCCCTTCTCTGGCAAAAACACCCCACCCCCTTGAAGCCGAGTGAAATAACCCAACCGTAATAAAAACGTAGTGAGCACACCTCCAAATATCTCACTGCGGCGTAACT